TACAAAGTATATACAGATATACTAAATTTACCCCCCATTCCACTTAAAATTTCACATACACAAATTTCAATTACCTTAGACACGGTGATTACTGCTGAGAATTGTACAGTTCTCCATCAAACAGGGTCTCCCTTTGCTGCTAGCCTCCATTCACAGCCTCCTCCCCTAGTGGGCTAAACCAATTAGTTCATGGGTGCTACACGAGCAAGTGCTAGCAGGAATTGATTGGGGTATCCTGACAACAACAAAAATCCTGAAAGGAGTTGAGCAAAATGAAAGACCTCAGGTATTACTAAGAGTTGCCCAAAAGTGGATTGGTTTGATTACTCTGGTTGGCTATCACATGTCCTAGTCCTTTTTCCCAGTCAGCTAGCCAGGAATAAAATATGGAATTCCTGGGCTATTTGTATAAGAGACCCACTATGAAAGTAGGGCAGAACATATAGTAGACTTGTACCATCATGGGACTTTTATATGTAGCTGTGTAGTTATTGTTCTGTGGAGTGGGAAAACTGACTTCTCATTTTATAGTCCCTGCCTTTCTACATCTGAAATTGTTGTCACTAACAGGAGTCCCTCAAAAAGAATGTTGTGCCTTGTAAAAGCCATGTCCTTATCTCCCAAACATAGGATTTAAGCTTCCATCTCCTGTTTCACCTTGCACTGCCATTTCCTATTTAGATACTTGGCAGCTCAGTCCGCAGCCTGGTGCATCTCATAGACATAGGAGTGCACTGCTATGAAATTTGTGAGGGCAGATGTACTGATCCTACAGTTCAAACCCTTCTCCTAGGATACCTCTGAGTTCTCCATATAGGCACTATGGGGACTTGTAGTCTCTTTCTGGTTCCCTTCCGATGCATCGTTTGAAATGGGGTACATGCCTAGGCTGTGCGAATGAACACCACCAACAACAACAACACATGCCTAGGCTGGGTTGGTTGGTTCATTTACTAGTGTGTCAACAGATTTCTTTTCTGCATGGATTACCACCCATGTACAACATACTGACTGTAGTATCAGGCAGTTTTGCTATGTCAGCTTTAATTTCTACAAATATGCTGGAAAAACAAAAAGAGCCTTGGTCACCTTAAAGACTAACAGATATAAAATACAAACTTCTGTGGCCTAGAACACACTTTTATCAGATTCATGCAGTGAAACCTCAGTTGGCAGAAATATAGAGGGACATGATAAAGAGTGTGTTATAACACTGTTAAGTTGCATCGTCTACCAGAAGTAGCTGGTAGGCCTGGGCCAAATCCATCTTCCTGAATATCTTGGCGCCTGCCAGAGAGGCCAAGACGTGGCTGACCATTGAAACCGGGTAGGAGTGGTCCTGCAGTGTTTTATTGATGATACATTTGTAGTCTGTGCAGATGCGGATGTCCCCGTTGGGCTTTATGGATATCACGATCGGGGTTTCCCAGAGGGTATGGGGGACCAGCTCTAATACGCCTTGATCCACCAGGCGATCCAACTCCTTATCTATTTTCAGCTTCAATGCGAATGGGATGTGCCTGGCCTTCAGCTGTATGGGCCACACCTCTGGGCTTAGCTGCAGGGAGACAGGGGGTCCAGTGTAGTGGCCGAGCGTCCCATCGAAGATGGCCGGGAACTCGCCGCACACTTTCTGAAAGTCTCTCGTGGCAATGTGGTGCACACCCGTGACTCAGAACACCAGGGGCGTGTACCAGGCTAGTCCTAGGAGACTCATGTGACTGGCCACCATCACCAGCAAGCCCCAAAATCTGTCAAATTCCTAGTACTGCACCCGGAACTTGCCCATCTCTCTTATAGCCACCGCATTTTGTTGGAAGTCCCGTAGTGTAAACCCGGCAGGCCTGAGTGGAGGGCCCTCCCGTGGGCAGAGCCCACTTAAAGTGTCCTCCAAGATTATGGAAATGGAGGACCCGGTGTCTAGCTCCATCGTGCAGGGAGCCCCCTCGATCAATACAGTCACATTAGGAGCCACCACTGATGAATGTGCCCTGGAACATCTTCTGGCCTGAAATTTAGAACATCTTCTGGCCTGAGACCGCACTGGAGGCTACTCCTATCATTGGGTGTGATTTGGATTATCGCCACTATCTGTCAGTTTTACTTGTAAACTGTTGCTGTTTTAACTTGGTACTGTATTTATTAATAGTTTTAACTCTGTATTGTTTACGTTATTTTAACTCTGTTAGCCGCCTTGAGCCAACATGCCCGGCAAGGTGGGATACAAATATAAATAATACATATAAATAAATAATATTAATTTTATTGGGAGTGCCCGGGGGTAAGTTCAGTACCTCTTGTTGCTGGATGGAGGTGGTGTATAGTTCTGTTGTGTGTGCTGGGGTTGCTATTGGTCGCCTCCTATTTCCCTTAGCGTGGCAGGCTTGGGCGATGTGGCCAACCTTTCTGCAGGTCCAACACGTGGAGTCCCGGAAACAACAGGATCTTCGCTCGTGGGGATCCCCACAGGTGGCGCATGGTATCTATATGGTGCTTTCGACGGTGTGTCATGGAGCAGAGGGGCGAGCATTGCGGCAGCCTGGGCATAATAGTTACAGGACCTCTTCGTTGTCAGATTTGTCCGAGGCTATGGCAGCCTGGTGCACTGCTGCGGAATGGGGTTTGGCCTTCTGGTTGCCACCCTCCCGGGACTTCTCAAACGCTGCAGCCACTTGGAGTGCCTTTTGGAGATTTACGCCCTCTTGGCTGAACAGCTTGTGCCAGAGCTTCTCGTCCCTGAGGCCAAACACAAAACAGTCTAGGTGTGCTTCCTCGAGGTTTGTGTACTCACAATGAAGTGCCAGTCGATGCAGGGCGGCAACATAGTCAGAGGTCAATTCACTGGGCCTCTGGCTCCTCTCGAAGAAATTGAGGTGGCAAGCCAGTCAGGTGGGTTTGGGCATGAAGTGGTCGGTGAGCACCTAGATGAGCTGTCGAAAGTGGCGAGTTTCAGTGTGGTTGGTGCGATGAGGCCTTGTGCTAGCTTCAAGGTGGCGATCCCGCAAGAGCTGAGCAACAGAGCCTTCTTCTTAGCAGCGTCATCGATGTCTTGGGTCTCCATGAAGTACGTTAGGCGTTCTACCCAGGCCTCCTATTTCTCTGGGTGGGGTTGAACTCAGGCAACAGTCCTGGAGGCAGCAATGGTCCCAGTTCCGATGAGATGCGCATGGCACTAGAGCTTGATGTGCGCGGCACTAGAGCTCATTGCACGGTGCGGTGCAGATGGGTGCAGGGCTGGCTCAACAGGATCCCATCCTCGTCGCCACTGTTAAGTAGTGGGTTCCATGGATGAACACACCCCAAGTCTAGTGATCAGCTCTAATTTATTAGTGATTTCAGCAAGGAGACTGAAGACCAAATCCCAGGCAGAAGCCTGGTTTTTAAGCATGCAAAAGACCACACCTCAAACACTCCCATTCCCAACAACAGGCTATTTACATTACATTGTTTCTCTATTGGTCCATTCTAGGATCCTAGCTGACTATTGTTTTGTGGACACAAGCTCAACCTGACCCCAGGGCTAGCTTAGGGATGACCCATCCTTAGTACACAACAAACACTGAAAATCAAGAGGTTTTGTTGATGACATTTCTGTACAAAACTCTTAAGTACACAAGATAAGCAAGTAACTTTTCACAACATCTGTAATCAAGAGGTGATGAGGTGGGTGCTAGCCAATAAACGCTTATGCATCAGTAAATTAGTCTTTAAAGTCTTTGCTGCAAGAGACTAATACAGTTATCCCAATAGTCTCGTACTGTTAACTCTTCTTCTGCTACACCATTTATCTCAAATATGTAATGTCCATGTCACTAGAACTAACAGTAGTGTAATATTAGGAGCAACCAAGATATTCAAGCCATTGAGCTGGACAGTTTGTAAAGGATTGTTTAAGAAATAAGGGCTGATTATCACTCAGATTCTCTCCCTAATAAGTATGAAGAGGAATGAGATGCTGTGGACAGAGCCTGCCTTCTGGACAGTCTTGTTCTGGAACTCTGCTCCTTAAATCTGTGCACAGGAAGAGACCAGAAATGAAAGGGGGGGGGGAAGCACTATGCACATGCTAAGAGGCTTGTTTCCTTATATTTGTAAATATTCTAGGAGGGAATTATTAGTTTGGAGGGGGAAAACATAAGCTGGAGGAGGATACAAGTAATGGTAACCATAGCAGCATTCCCGGTGATGAAGAGAAAGCATGTTTAAAACTGTGCTGGAGAAAGGAGCTGCAGCTGTACTATACCTGGGGAAGTGCTGAATTCCTTAAAAGGTGTTATTGGATCTAAAAGACTGCTGTTGCACCTGTTCTAGAAGTCTCCCCCGGCCCCCATTCTGTGCGGGGCAGGCTGTAGTTACTCCTTTATGCCAACTGCATGGCACACTCTGCACAACCTCACAAACCTACCCCCTGCTACTTTATTACTAACACTGCCCAGTCTTCTCGTTGACTTCAATTCCCCCAGCAGTAACCCAACCAGTGTTTAAAACTATGGATTTGACGAACTACCGGGTCTCTGTTTCTCTACCTATTAAGCGGCAGCAATCTCCCCCGGCCCGGCCCAAATGCGCGGGCGCTGGAGAGTAGAATGCAACTAGAAATGCGGCTCCTTGAACTCTCTGTTGTGCTACCACCTTCAAAAGACATTTCTGTATCAAGTAGCCTCGGAAAAGAAACAATTCCAGAGTTGTCGGTCTGTTGCTAATCTAGGTTAATTTACTGCGGCAAAAACAAGCACAAGTCCTGTTACGTTTTAACAAAAACATTTATGCTAGCAGACTTTTTTGTATACTGGAGGCCGTCCCTTTAGATGCTCTTAAGAGATTTTATGGGGCGGGTGTGTGTTAAGTTTTCAAGATGCCACAAGACACCCGCTTACTTTAGAAGATAGGTCCAGGCGATCAGCGACTCCCAAACGAGCCCGCGCAAGCGCCGTACCACGCTCATAAGACGCCTGAAAGTAGGCATTGCGCCTGCGCCAGATTTTAGCTGGTAAGGGGAAGAAAGGAAGGAAGGAAAGAAAGAGGCGGAGCTGGGTGCGTTGCGCGGCTCATTTGCCATGGCCGCTTTTGGGGTGGCCGGGGAGATGGGGTCTCTCGCTTCTCTCTTCGCCTCCTCTCAAGGCCCCAGCGGCGCTTAGGTCGCACTCGCGTGGGACGGGGCGCGATGCCACGGAGGCTTCTCTTGCCCGCCTCGCCGCCACACTGGCTTCTGCCGGGGCTGCTCGTGATGGCTGCGCTGTGCGGCGGAGTTGTCCCCTCGGCTGCCCCCGCCTCTCCGCGGCCGCCGTCTGTTACCCCGCGCAACTCCAGCTCTCGCGGCGGCGAGACGACGCGGAGCGGCAATGCAAGCAATAGCAGCCGGCAGGTCCCGAGGCCTGAGGCCGGCCAGCTCATGACCCAGCGCGCCCTCTCTGTGCTCGTCTTGGCCAGCGCCGCCCTCATCGTCTACTTCGTGATCCGGACAGTGCGGTGAGCGGTGCCGCTTGCTGGCTGAAGCCGGGCACCTTTGGGGACCGGGTTTCCTTAGGCACCTCGGAACGTATATGCATGGGCAGCCGGGAATGGGCCTACCTCGCGCAGAGCGGGTCCCCGTCCCCCCCATCTCCAAGTCACTTGCAGGACACCCCCCCCATGATGCACTGTGCTGTCAGTCCTCCAGTTTTTGTATTTGACAGCCAAGGCTTCAGTGGAGTGTCTAAATCAATTCTCTGACTTCGTTGGTGATATCTCTAAGTCTGACAGCTAGTTTTCCTGGCACATGCTTACTTCAGACAGCAGCCAGATGTAGGCCCACTGAATGGTGCAGCCAAATATAATTAAAAGATTACCAAGTTTAACGTTCGCATTGACAAGAAGTACTTGGTCCTTAAAGCCTCCTGTAAGCTGGCAGCTAAAGGATTGACTGGTTAACTGGAATCAATATGTAACATTCTGCTCCTATTGCCTTTTGGCTGTCATCCCCTCCGTAGGATTGTAGTGATAATAAAAACCACAAGTGGAGTGGTTCCCTGTCAGAGTCTCCTTAGAGAGCTGTACTCCTGGGCTCCCTTCCTGGCT